GTCTCGGGGCGCCCCGCTCTCTCGGGGTCAGGCCCCTCCACCTCCTGGAGCTGCACCTCTCAGAGCCTTCACACGTGTCTCTTGCCGTGGGCCCCCTCAGGGAGGGTAAAACAAGAGGGTTATTGAGAGTTGAACACAGCACAGGAAACTCTCAGGGCTGGCCTCCCTCAGCCCAGCACACCCCAGTCTCTCTGCATCCAGGTGGGCTCTGCCTGCTCCCCCTCTCCAGCCCTGACCCCCTTGCTTCCCAGCTGGGCATCTGAGGTCCCTGGCCCCAAGCCCGGCCTCTGTCCATTGTCTTCTCCCCTGGTAAACAGGCTTGTAAACCGGGGCCTCCTCTCCTCGCTTCTGTCCTCTGGCTGGTTAGGTCACTGGGTCCTCACTCTGCAGCCTATTGTCCTCCCACTGGCCAGAACTGGCTGCAACTCCTGAGCTGGGTCTCCGGGTTGGGGTCTCAGGTCACCGGTCGCTCTGTGTGATGGGAGCACATTGTAGTTTTCAAAAGTGTCCTTCCTTGTGGGGGGGGCCTCAATCTTGGGGATCTCAGGCCGAGTGCCCACAAACCGAGACGCCCACAGTTAGTGGAGACCTCTGCAAACACTGGCCTCAATAGCGCTGGATCCCTTTTGTTGGGGAGCATGAAGGGCCCCCGCCATGATCAGGGCCCTGCTGTGCCAGGCGCTGCATAAACACAGAGTGAAGAGACAGTCCTGGCCCCTGGGAGCTCACTAAGGAAAGTGAATCCAACTGTACCTCAGTTTCCCACTGTGTAGAATGGGAATAATGACCCCTTCTTGCCTCCCGGGGGTCTGACTTCCAGTGTGGAGCCCTGCACTGCCAGGTGCCAAAGACCCACCTGTGAGTCACCCTATGTCCAGGGCAGGCCTGAAGCAGTGAATTAGGCCGGGGCCACACACGGGCATATGAGGTTCCCAAGAACAGGGAGCTGCGGCTCGCTATCTGCGGGGCTGGGAGCCCAGCTCGCAGGGCCGGGATTCTGGGTGGGGGGAACTCTGGGTTCTGGGAGAGAATCTCTGGCTCTAGGCCCCTGGATCTGCCGTGGCTGGGGCCGGTCGGGGAGGCCGGGGCTGGGTGGGTGCCCGGGTCTGGCTCTCACAGCCTGTCTCCTGTGCGCAGATCCCAGCTTACCCAGACCCTCCATCTCTCTGAGCCCCACTGGGGTCACTGCCCCAGGGGCAGACGTCACCATCCGGTGTCAGGGGCAGCGCTGGAATGTGACATTCTTCCTGCACAAGGCTGGAGACCTGAACCCGCCGCGACACATGGACACTGCTGGGGATGGGGCCAAGTTCCGCATCCCCACCGTGGGCCGGCAGCACGGAGGGAGCTACAGCTGCAGCTACCGGAACCGATCAGAGCCCTTCGTCTCCTCAGAGCCCAGTGACCCTGTGCAGCTGGTGGTAGCAGGTGAGGGTCCTGGCTCGGTGTCCTTGTTCCCATCCCCACACCCAGCAAGATCTTTTGCGGGGTCTCTGCAATGATGGGACGCTCAGAGCCAGGCTCTGCCCTGAGCCCTGGGCCCAGCAGAGGGGACACCCAGCTATGGAGCAGGGACAGAGTCACTACGGGTTTCCCCATCCAGGGGGAGCAGCAGCCACTGGAGGTTTGGGGCAGACAGAGGGGGTTCCCTGCCCCCAGAGGGAGCTGCAGAGAAGGGGGCTTTTCCCAGGGGGATGCTCACTGGGTTGCTCCCATTCTTAAGACCCATAGAGGAGTTGGGGTCTGGGGGGCACAATTGCTGTGGAAACAGGTCGTGGTGCCCAGAGGTGGGTGGGGCAGCCCCAGATCCCCCAATGCCTCCTGCTATGCAGGTCACGGCCTGGAATTTGCTGGAGTATCCCGGGGAGGGACAGAATCTGACGGCTGCGCTGTGAAATTGGGCCCAGCTGGGTGCCAGAGTCCTGGGGCAATAACCCCCCTTCTTGGGCCACATGACATCCCCCTGGCAATATGAGTGAGCATTTCTCAGAATTCCCTTGGTTCTTGCTTCCCCTCCCCCCATTGGGGTCTCAGGGGACCCCCTGACCTTCCCCCCAATAGATGTTCTGCTGCCTCTGTCTGCTCCCTAGGCCTGGGCATCACCTGAGTCTGGGGGGCAGCGGTTAACGTACCAGCCTCCCCCGCGCGCACTGCCTGGCTGTGTTTGGCAGCAGCCGAGATACCCCAGGGCTGGGCTCACTGCACAGCAGACAGGCCGGAGCAGAGGTACCTGTGGGGGTGGACAGAGGGATCCTATGGGGACAGGGAGCTGGGGTGGTTCCCTGTTCTGGGGGGCTAAGACCCTGAGGCTCTGATTGTCCCCATCCCCTGGCCCAGTCCTGGGGTGTCGGGTGTCTTGGGGGCAGTTCATCCACCTGGGAGCCCCCTTCACCAGAGCAGCTGAGGCAGCAGGACGTGGCCTCCCCTTAGGGGTCTGGCCTGGGGAGGCCCCAGAGCCATGGCACCTGGGAGACCCCCAGAGGGGGCTAGGCTGGACCTGCTGGATGGGGGGGGGGTTGGGGACTCTGCTCCCAGGGCAATGCCAGCTGCTGATTTCCCTATCCAAGTGGCCAAGTGACTCTTCCCTTTCCCCCTAGATTTCACCAACATCAACGTCGCCCGCCTGGGGCTGAGTGCTGCAGTCCTGCTCGTCCTGGGGCTGATCCTGGCAGAGGCCTATTACAGCCACCCAAGGGGGACCCCCTAGGTGAGGTGACCCCCCCTTCTGTGCCCCTTGCTCCCCCCAGGGGCTGGGCCCAGGGAGACACACCATCTCTAACCCGCCATCTCTCTGCACCCCCAGGAGCCTGGATCCGGCCATGCGGAGAAGATGAGCTTCTTCCCCGTGGGGTGCTGAGACCCCGGCACAAACTGCCCCTGCCCTCAATCACCCCTGCTTTGGAGAATCCTGCCCTCCAACAGCTCCCGACCTCAGAACAGCTCCCCAGGATTGAACCCCCAATGCCGTGTGTGATGTTGCACTTCATATGTTTATGGAAATATGGTTATGAGTGTAAATATAATGTAAGTGGAATATGTTTGATGCAAAAGGTCTTTTGTAAGGTATCATTACAAAGCTTATGATCTACTGAGTGTGTTCATCCCATTTGTTTGCATGTATCTATTTGTATGAATGTATCATTCTTGTATATAAAACTAGAAATATGACGTTAACTCTGAGGTTCTCTTGTAATTATGTAAAGTGTGGACCATTAATGGTGGCTTAGAATCTTGATGGCACCCATTGACTAGGACAATTGGCTGTAGATGGTTTATTTACCTGCAAGCTTTCTTGTGGACGTGGGGGCCAGCCTGTGGTTAATGAAGAATGAGGTCTTACAGGGACATGTGACCATGTCACATGATACTGGAATCCATCTTAAAACTAGTGCTTTTCCATTTAGAGGGACGGGTGGGAACCCAGAGAGACAAAGGATTTCCGCCTTGTGCCAAAGATATAAAAGGGGTGGAACCGAACAAAGGCGACCAGTCATGGTCCTAGAATCCTCTAGTTACCACCTGAGCTGGAACTAAGAAGGACAGTACCAGGGAAAGGATTGGGCCCAGATTAGGAAGGAGTCTAGTCTGTGAAAGAACCTTATTGGAACATCTCTGAGGGTGAGAGTTACCTGTATTCAGTTTCTTAAATGTATTAGGCTTAGACTTGTGTGTTTTGTTTTATTATTACTTGAACCCACTTAAATCCTACTTTTTATACTTAATAAAATCACTTTTGTTTATTAATTGAAGCAGAGTAGGTGATTAATACCTGGGGGGGAAACAACTGTGCATATCTCTCTATCAGTGTTATAGAGGGAGAACAATTTATGAGTTTACCCTGTATAAGCTTTACACAGAGTAAAACGGGTTTATTTGGGGTTTGGATCGCATTGAGAGATAGGAAATGTGCTGAGTGGTTTTCAGTTAAAGCCTGCAGGTTTGGGGGGCGTGGCCCAGACCCTGGGCCTATGTTGCAACAGACATAGCGTGTCTGGCTCAACAAGGCAGGGTTCTGGAGTCCCAAGCTGGCAGGGAAAACGGGCTCAGAGGCACTTTCAGCACGTCAGGGGAGCGTCCCAAGGGATCTCTGTGACCGAACCCGTCACAGTCGGACTTTAACAGCAGCTGTGGCGATTCCAGCTCAGTTCCGCTGGCTCCTCTGCCCCCCCCCCAGGACAGTCGCTAGTGACTCTGGGGCCAGCGGGGAGACCCCCAAACCCGGGGGATTTTTCGGCTAGAGACTCGCTCCAGCGAACAGGGCTGGGGCTGGAACAAACCCCTCGTTTCACACGGTGCCTGCCACACCTCCCCTGGTTCCTGCTCTGCTGTGTCTGTAACAGCTGGTCCCAGGGGTCAATATGGGCTTTGCCGTGGGGCTGAGCAGACTGCAGGCTCTGGACCCCACTCCCGGCCCATGTTTAACGCTGTTCAGTGTGGGGCAGGGACTGGAGCGTGTTCGCATCTTGGGCCCTTTATTTTGTCTGTAACCCTTCTGCCCATCTAAGTTGGCAGCAACAGGGGCTGGGTTCTGTATCTAGGGGTTCCGTTTCAATAACACAATGCAAAACCGGCTAGAGCCCCCACCCAGTGACCTGGGACAACTACGTACCACTCCCTGGGTGCCTCTAAGAGGCAATACTTCCCCTCTCGCAAGCACGGAGTCTGAGTGTAACAGAAAATGTTTAATAACATGAGGTAAACGACATCAGCATTAAATTGGAAAAAACACCACAAACAGGCTTCATGAGCAAAAAACTCACCCCAGCAAATTGGGCCGTGTCCTTTCCCTTTGGTTCTTGAAACCAGCAACCCAAGAATCACCAAAGTCCCAAAACCCCAAAGTCTCTTGGGTCCAGCAACACAAGGATCGCCAAA